TTTTTTTTTTCCTGAAAATAAGAAACGGCCACTTTTAACTTGGAGGTCATTAGGGGTCCACCTGCCAGAGCCCTGTGGGGAGGGACATCCTATTCCACCCCAGCATGAGAAACACATTCTACCACTGACAGTGTCAGAAGGTAGCCTCAGCAAGACAATCAATTTTTCAATGTGGAAGTTCAGCTATTCTAGATCCTAACCTGTCATCATAATTCAAAACTAACTGCAGAAGCACATGTCTGAATGCTCTAGTGCTTTAGATCCCTGGGGGGCAGAGCAGTGATTGAAAGCTCCCTTACCACTAAATCTGTGCTCTGCAGTTAGGCACTAGGAACCAAGAAATGAAAGTTAGTGACACTGATCTGTGTCTCATTGAAGCTTTGTAGGGTGTCAGGAAACAGCGTGGGCAGACTTCTGAGGAATAATGGAAACTCTGGGCCTTTGCCAAACTGCCCCCAGGAGGCAGGTGCTTCCTTACAGAAAGTCCTCAGGTTTCTCTTTCCAGAGCCCACGGAGGAAGGAGAGGGAAGGTCCCTAGGCCATGAACCATCTGTGAAAAGAGCTGATCCTTCTCACCTCCTATCTGGTCTGCATTTCTAAACTGAATTCTCAGATTACTGGTGTCTGGTCTTGGCCCTAATTTCTGTATTCTATTGCAGGCTCTAGTATTCCTTATCTCCGTGGTCTAAGAAAATACAGTCTTTGCCTTGTCTCTCAATCCAACTTGACCATCAGATGTGTTCACTTAGACCAAAAGTCATGTGCTTTGTTCATTCCCAAGGTCATATCTTTTTTCTTGTTGTTCCTTGTACCTAGAATCCCACGTCTCTCCTCTTTCTGCCCATACAAATGTTAACTTATCCTCAGGCTCAACAAATCTTTTTTTTTACCACATAAAACATCCACTATCTTGGACTTTTCTTCCAGGATCCTAACTCATCTGGATCTCTTATGCCCGTTGACATCATTAATTGTTAATAATAAGACAGTTTTTAAGTGGGTAAACATACAACAGTTCTGTACTTTTGTCTAGCCTTTAAAAAAATTTTTGTAGTTGTTGATGGACATCATGCCTTTATTTTATTTGCTTGTTTTTTTTTTACGTAGTGCTTAGGCTCAAACCCAGTGCCTCACACACGCTAGGCAAGCACTCTGCCACTGAGCTACAGCCCCAGCCCCTTTGGCTAATCTTTATATTATTTGGGGACAGGTCAGATATCTATCTTACACTGCTTCATATGCACTGTAACATTTTATAGAGTGATAGCTACTTAGAAGGCATTTAAAAATATCCTGAATGATTAAAGTCAAATTTTAATGTGTTTGACCTAGAGAAACATAGATATTCAAAATTGATAGTGATGCCTTTCCCCTTCCCAGACCTCTGTAAGACAATTAGTTACAACATCCACAGTTAGCCTCACCAGGGTAATAATGGATATCCCTGGGGAATGAATTAATGACACTAGCACATGGGGTTGCAAATTGCATAACCTAAGATGACTCACCAGATAGTATGGACACTTGGGTCCCTTTCCCAAATATGAGTTTACCAGTCATTCCTCCAGTATTCACACTGCAGGCAACGCCATTACAGAAACTCATTGGAGAAGCACTGATGTCCCAGAGGACAGGAGGATCACACTCCTAAGAGTGAGGCCTTCTGCTATTTTGTCTTGAGATTTTTGTCTCTGGTATGTAAAGTTCTTTTTTCTTGCCCAATTCTGCAATGGTATCCTGAGCTGAGTTTGTGAGTTCATGTGATTTCCACAAATTCAGTAGATTTCAATGGATCAAAATCCCCTATTCAGGGCAGCAATATCTTAGATCCTCTAGTGAAAATATCTCAGAAACAGAACTTATCATCTGCCATGTAATTCTTAAGGTCCCAGTCTAAGGAAAATGTCTCCAAAGCACTTAGTGCTGCTGGGTGGGAGGATTTCCTGGAGGTGGGTAGAAAGAACCATTTGGAATCCTATAGATGACAATACCTGGACTCAAGTCAGTGTCTTGGACAAAGAAGAAATAACTGTCTATTCAACCCTTGCCCACTCTACTTACTTGGCTGGGTGCTCAGTCTGGTCCCTGCTCCAAAGATTAGATTGACTGCCATTGCTGTGTTCCCACTGTGGGTAACATCTTTGGAATAACTCTCCTGATGTGAATCTGCTGGAACCCTCACCCCTCACCCTCGTCCATCCTGGGTCTCAGAGAACTATCCTACAAGGCTTGACCCATCTTAATTTCTTACTTTTCCGTTTCTCAAGGGAGCTGGTCCTTTACAATAATCTTAGTATAGCCAAGTATAGCTTAGTATTATAATAACAATAATATATCAGAAAAGCTACTACTTATTGATTACTTGTTATCTGTGGGGTATTATATCATATAGTGATATGGTTATTGTCATTTTGCTGTTGGGAGTAGAGGCCACATTAAATACAGCTGGTGAGGATAGAGCTAGAATTCCCCTGTCTGTCATCCTTTCTATGCTTGTTACTCATGTGGAACTGCCATCCAGATAGGGGCCTGAACCACTTTTACCCCTGGGTGAGGATTCACGACTCTACTGTCCTCCAGAGAGGAAGATTCTCTGAGCAGGTATTCATTAGCCAACCCAGGGAGTTTAGCCACCTGCTGCAATAAAAGAGAATTTGTGTTTGCCATTAACTCATCTCTTTCCCCCAAGGGCACTAAGCTAATTTCCTGAATGTTCAGATTATCTGGTGCTGATATTATCAGCTTCGCTTCAAAGCACCGAGTATCTGGAAATCTTTTTATATTTCCGTAAATTATTCTGTTCTGATTTTCATTTACTCAATTGGCTCTTGGCACTTCTGACTTTAATATGAGAAATGGGAACATTTCAAGTCACCAAGAGAGCTTGTAGAAATGGAAAATGAGGGCTTCATATATCCTCAGGTTTGCTATAAATCATTTGCCTGTTTTCTCTTGGACAAGTCAGCGGTTCTTTTTGCCCTGGTCATTGGCACCGTCATACTCACATGGGCGCACAGCCAGCCTGGTCCCTGCTCCAAAGATCAGCTTATTGTAGCTGCCTGACAATGCACAGTAGGAGGGTGCTTTACAGGAACTCTCTCACTTAGGCAGGACTGGCCTGGCTGGGACACTTGCTTCCTGTCCCTGCGTCCCAGTCTCTTTCAAGTCAACCCTTCTCTGACCAGATGGAAAACTCATGCCCATTGGGTTAAATTCCTCACTTTTCAGCGTAATGGCTCCACAGCCCTTTCCTTGGCCAGTCTGGAACTGGCCAGGCCTTCCTGGAAGAGGAGCCCCATTTTGGGTTCCGCAAGTGAAGGTGAGGGAGGAAACTTGGGAGAGTGTGGAGAAGAGCCAGAGATTAATTGGGAAATGGATCATGAGGGAAAAAATGCATAGCATCGGCAATAGATGGAAAACCTTGGGCAAGGCTTAATGATGGAACCCAGGCCTAGGAAGGGCTCTTCTTTCAGAAAGTGGCTTCTATTATTCCTTGAGGGCACAGAGACTAAAACTGCCACAGGAATATTCACATAAAATGCACAATGTGGACTTTTTTCCTAGGAAGGTTGTGGGAGAAGTTACTTATGGGACCTGAGAATCTCTTTCTCTGGAGATCTGTAAATTAGAATTGACATTCATATGGAGGAAAACCCCCAAAGTTTGAGAATGGCTCAGACAAATACTTATCAAAATTTCACAGAACCTATTTCTTGTAAGTTTCTCTGGAAAAAGTGATTCTAAGCTTGAATAAGTTTGGAATATGCTTTATGCTCCTATTTTGGTCTTGAAGATTGACAATGCGTATTAGCGTTCTAAAGTCTCTGAAAAGTCTTCCAATAAGTAAATCCAGAGCTTTTCTAACTTATTTGACCCAAGAACACTTTTTTTTCTTTTTTTGTTAAAGCACTCATTAACATCCATGGGACTATGCAA